CTGCTGCTGCATAGTGAGGCTATTGTTACTTTAGAATGAGGTGGTAAGGATGGGTTATGGTGACGATTGCATGCCATCCTCCTTTACCTTCCCCTAGCTATAGCGGGAGTCTATCAATATTCTTAGGTGCAGTTGTTGATGCTATTTAATGGCACCCTAATGCTACTTAGGGCCGTGTTTCCCTAGGTCACAGAGAACTTTTAGGTGCCCGTCCAGCTTCCTGAAGGCATAGGCAGGACAAAGGGGGGAATTTATCTCTGCTAATGCTTTGAGTACTATTAATATAGCTAGAGAAACTTTCTTTTAGTTTATTTTTTTATCTTCTTTCACTTTTTTTTTAACAGTGCATATTGTACAAAGGAGTTTCATTGTGACATTTCCATTAATGTACTTTTTACTCTTAACTGTGTTCTATTGTTATATTTTAAGTGTGACTCTTGTAAACACCACAACATTTTGTTTTTTTCACTTACTATAATAATTTTTGTCTTTGGATCCATTTACATTTAATTCTCATTGTTGCATAGGGTCCCAAGAAATCCCTAGTTTGTGTGTATGTGTGTGTGTTGTGTGTAGGTGGCCATGACTTTGCCACAGAAAACAATTTAAGGACAAGTCAGACTGAGGTTTAAACACATTTATTAGCAAGTGAGAAAAGTCCATGCTCAAAGCATGAAGGGCAGGCCTGAAAGACATGATAATCTGCCTTCAGTGAGGGGATATGTTTTGGGCTATGCTCTTGAGACTCAGAGTTAGATTGGCTGACCATTGACTAACAAATTATTGACTTTGACTGTACTCAAGATCTTGTGGTAACTTCTTAGCTGATGGTTCCTGTCCTCAGCTGTGTGACTTCAAATAGTGAGAGGGCCAAAGTAGAGTACACTTAGTTATTCACTGTCACTCTATGAAAGCACATTTGATGTTGTTAGTGACACTTTAACACATTTTTCTTTTAAGGTCCAGTACGTGTTTCAGCAGGGCTCGTTATGGTCCTTTGTGGAATTCCTCTGTGAGGAATGAACGAACATAATATAGGGAAGTTTATTTAACATTTTGCTTGTTTGGCCATTTTCTCTTCCTTGTCTTCTCCGTTTTCCTTATCATATAATTTAGATTTATATTTGACATACTACTTTATTTAGTGGGTACTGGGATTTGAACTCAGGGCTAGGCAGGCACTCTACCTCTTGAGCCATACATCCAGTCCTTTGTGCTGTAGTTATTTTGGAATTGGGGTCTTGCTTTTTGCTGAGACCCAATTCCTGGACTGCAGTCCTAGTATTTTATGTTTCCCACCATCACTGGAATGATGGGTGTGTACCCAGCCTTTTCCCATTTAAATGGGGTCCTTTGAACTGTTTTGCCTGGTCTGTCCTGGAACCATGATCCTCTGGATCTCAACCAAGTAGCTAGATTACAGGTGTGAGCCACTGGCAACCAGCTACATACTATTTTTTGCTTTTTGTAGGTTTTACTTTCCCTCCCTCTCCCTCCTTTCTCTTTCTCTCTCTCTCTCTCTCTCTCTCTCTCTCTCTCTCTCTCTCTCTCTCTCTCTCTCTCATCTATTTGTGTATTTAAATTTTATTTTTCCTTTTTATTACTGTAGTTTTCCCCCAGGGTAATATAATTGCCACTCACTTTTCCCTGGAAATGAAACAGTCCGTGCATCCGCCATATAGTTTGTACTCATTTTTAAAACAGTAGCATAAAATATACACAAATTCACTTTCCTTTGATCCATTTCTTTTGATTATAAAAGAAACAGTATCTTTCTGGTGATGGGGCTGGTTAAACTAGGTAACTATTTAGGGTAAAATAAGTATATGCTAACAGATGGAAAAAGTCTCTGTCCAAAAAACCCAAAAAAGAGTGAAGGAAACTGATTAATTTTTTAAATTGTGTCTGAAAAGGAAGAACTTTGACAACATGAAAATCTAGCTGTGGACTGGAAGAATGGCTCAAGTGGTAGAGTGCCTGCCTAGCCCTGAGTTCAAACCCCAGTCCCACCAAAAAGAAAAGAAAAGAAAATATAGCTGTGAATAAGAAACACTGTTTATAATAGGATGTTTACTAAAGAAAAGGGATTTCTAGGAATTAAAGGGAAGATAGGTAAACTTTCTTCTTTTACCATGACTTACATGAGATGTGAAAGGAAGGAAAAATGAAATTTTTAGTTGTAAAATCTTGAATCAGGGTAAGGAAATTGTAGAGAAATTCTTAAGGAAAAACTCACTATGACCCACTGAGCTCCTTTAGGTTCAGAAGAATAAAGTATGTCTTACTAAGGCTGGATACCTGAGAAATAGCTCTCACACAGTCTAGAGGGAGCCTGTGCAATTTGCTAAAAGCAACAAAGGTTTTTCTTTCTTTTTTTCTTTTTTGAGCTAAGTGAAGCACACATGAAATGAAGCACGCATGTCATTTTGGTATTGTTGAAACAAGATGCAGAAGGGTGAACTGGATGATTGCTTTGCTAAATAAGTTTCCAGGTAATAATTACAAATGCCAGTGCATATGCCAAGATCAGTTTTGTCAGATGCTTTAACCTCTGTCAGGGTGAAATGTGGAATTACTGTTGACTCTTAAGTGCCTTTTTGTGTATTTACTATTTTACATTTCTTTCTTTTTTTTTTTTTTGAGAAAGAGGGTCTCACAGTGTAGCTGAGGTTGGCCTCAAATGCCCAGTCTTCTGGCCTCACCCTCCTGAGTGCTGGGATTAAAAAGCGTGCACCACCATGCCTGGCTGGTAAATTCATTTTTGTAGCATTAGGATGAGGTGCTATGGATTGGCTTGAGGTATGTTTAAGGACATTTGACAGTCTCCATCAGCTGGGTTGATCTTGCACTGTGGCACACAGTGCATTTAGGGGCCTGATGTCTAGGAAGCTGCTGTTTCTGGGGAGCCCACGTCCCTGCACATGCCAGATAATAATGCTGCAGTGATGCTTGTCTATGCCCGACTTCCTTCAAGAGGGAAGAACACTGCCCTCAGAGAGAGATCTGCTCTGGCTACTGCCTTGGGGGCGTCAGTCTTTTTTTTTTTTTTCTTTCTTTTTTGGAGTATTAGGGTTTGAACTCAGGGCCTCATGCCTACTAGGAAGGCACACCCCCCCAGTCCGTTTTTGCTTTTAGTTACTTTTCAGATGGGAGCTTGTGTTTTTGCCCAGGGTGGGGCTTTGAACCATGATTATCCTACCTAGCCATCTCATGTAGCTGGAATTACAGACTTATGCCAATATTTGTTGAGATGGGGGGTCTCACTTTTTGTTCAGGCTGGTCTTGAACAGAGATTACTCTGATCTCTGCCTCTCAAGTAGCTGGGAATTACAGGCGTGAGCCACTGTGCCCAGCCTTCAGTCCTCTTCATGAATCTTCTAGACCTAGAATAAAAGGGGCAGGACTTGAATTGGAAAAAAATGGGAGGCAGGTTTGATTCTGGCTTCTTCCAGTGTCCCTATTCCATTATTCTCTGCCAAGGCTGAGGAGATGTATTAGCTGATTTTTTTGTTGCTCCTAACTATAGAGAAAAGAGGTTTTCGTTGGCTCATGATTTTGGAGGTGAGGTGTCGAGGGGATGCTTGTGGTGATGACCTTCCTGACAGAATTGTGAGGCAGTGTAGGTCATCACATAGCAAGACTCAGGGAACTTACATGTTGGCCCATGTCCCCATTTCTCTTTTAATGGCCAATTCCCAGCCATACCTATGACTCAGCTCTTCCTCATCACCTTTTTCTAAATTTTTATAATTCCCTTACCTGATCTCTTTGTTAATGGTATTTCCTTCTTCTAATGCATCTCACATGCTCCTGGATTGTTAGTCCTAAAACATCCCTTCTATCCTCAGAATCTTAGAGTGGCTCTTTATTGTGTACTATATGAAGTAAAATTTCAGTTATGAGACCTCTTTTGGCTTTAATTTTTTAAACTGCAAATTGGGAATCATAATCTTTAGCTTCATCTTGCAGCATTATTTTGAGGGTTAGAGGTAGCACTCAGTGCATTGAATTACCTGCCATCTATAAGTACTCAGTGAATAATTACTCTGACATTTGAAGTCCTCCTTTAATTTTTTTAGCCTTACCATTCATTCTTACTTCCCCCACTCAAAAATGTGTACCACCAACAGGGTCACTTGGTCTCTTTACTGGCCCCAAAACAAACTGTGTTTTGCTTTCTGAAGGGAAGTCTTGGCCCAGGTCTTTCTGCTTCTTTCTGTTTTCTCCTCCTTTAGCACTCTTGCTCAAGCTTCTGTCTCAAGCTTTTCCACACAAATCCAGTCCTGTTTGATCTTCCTGACTTCTGATGATTGTAGTCTTGCTCACAGGTTAGCACTCCATTAGGTTATTTTGTGCTGTCTTCTTACTTTTCAAGGAGGCAGTCTTGTCTTCTGTCCTAGATTGTCAGTTTCTTGAGGGTAGGATCATGTTTGATGGGATGCAACAGACACCCCAAAATACTTGTCTAATAATTTCTTTGGTAATGGTTTTAGAAGCAAGTTTTCCAAGAAAATTTCAGTTTTGGTAATTTGGATTCTCAGTTGTACATGGTAGACAGAGATTTTAGAATTGCCTTTGAATAAAAATTTGCAGATGAAATGTTAGAAGCTACTTGAAAAAATGCTTACAAAGTTGTGTTTTTAATACTCGTTTTGTATATCATGCTGCTTTAAGACTAGAATTAGTGGAATATCTATTCTTTCTTTAGTATGATAGTGTTAAAATAATGAATGCAACCTATAATATTTGTCACTTTCAAAAAGTGGTAGCCATTTAATATTTTCTCCAAAATATCTTTTCTAAATTACAATTTTTCTTAATTATATTTTTGATAAATTAGAAAATAATGAAAAATACTAGAAAAAAATTACTCCTAATGGCAGGAGATAAAGATTTTTAATGTTTTGCTGTGTATTTTTTGTTGTGTGTGTGTCTGAAATAGGTAAGCTTCCCTTCCCTCTAAGTTTCTTACTTTATAATTCTTAATGCTTGCTTTTCAGGTTTTCCTAAGAGGAGTTCTGCACACCCTAGAAGTACTTAAGGAAGAATAATGAAGGTAAGTATCTAACACTTTATATATCCAGTAAAATTAACTTGGTTCATGGCCTGATCAAAAAGCTTTGGTTACCATGTCTATCAGAAACCTCTGAAATTGTGGTTGAGTGCTTGCCTAGTATGCACAAGGTTCTGGGTTCGAGCCCCAGTATTTCTAAATAAATAAATTAAATAAAAATTTAAAAACCCCAAAATAAACAAAAACCCCCAAAAAATTTGGAAGAAAAACTTAAAGGAATAGAAAGGCAAAGATCATTTGTAAATAGTTCAGAATGGTTTTGTAGAGCACCCTCTTAAACATGTCGAATTTTAAAAACATAGCTTTTTACTTATTTCTGATATTAATTCAGAGGAACTTGTTTCCTAAGTGCAAATTTATGAAGTATTATGTCTTCAGCAGAACTGTGGTAGAAAAATTAGTTGTAGAAATTCTGAGGATTTAATGAAATTATCTGAAATGCTTGATCTTTAGGTGGCCGCTTCTTCCTTTTCTTTCCCATGTTCTTCCCCTTCCCATTCTCCCCTTTCTCTCATGTCATTTTGCTACCTTTCCCCACTTGTTCTAGTTTACTTCTGTTTTTGGTTTTTTTTTTTTTTTTTTTAAAGAGAAAATAATGAATAAAAAAGAAGTCAACATTTCCTTCCTACCAAAGTGCAGTTGGCTTTTCAGTTGAACTTGTTTATGTTAAACCAGGGATGTAAATACAGTTAATTGGAGAATTACAAACTGAGCAACAGTTATTATTCATTTGAGTTTTATTCTTAGAGAAGAAAATGGGGGTGTCCTAAATTTTTTGAGATTATCGAGTTGCTGTATATTTCCTGTCAGTCATTTTAGAGTCATTGCAGTATTGCTGTCTTTGGTAACTTTGCCACAGTATTTCTCCTTTCTTAATATTTGCCAGACATTGAAAGGTGGAACCTTCAAAACTTTGACCATGGTTCTTGTTGGTATTGCTATCACAGCAATAATGCACATAATAGTTGTGTCAGTATCAGATTATATTTTATAATCAATGCAGGTTTTTCAGAATTTTATCTTAATAACCTAATGCTTAAAGCTCAGTTTAGGTTTTTTAGGGCTCCATTCGGTGTGGTCCTATGCTATTAGTATAATTAAGATTAGTCTTGCTTTTAATGTTTTCTTTTTTTTGGCAGTACCGGGGAGTTGAACTTAGGTTCTCATGCTTGCAAGGCAGGTGCATTGCCATGTTGGCAGCCCAGGTCTGCCTTTACAAATCTTGGAATTCATTACATTCTATTGCCTGATCTTTGCAGGTGTGAAGAGAGCCTTGGTTTGGAAACCTTAGTTTTGCAAGTGTAGGCTTGGAAATTAACACCCTGTTTCATGGATTCCTGGAGATTGCTAGCATATCTTTGTTATCATCATTTCAAATTTTTAAAAAATTTAGATGACGTACAAATGCTAGTGAAATCCCAGGCAAAATTACTTAACATTTAGAGTGTACCATAAATTGGAAGCAAGCAGATGGTCAGTTGATTACTTAATACCACTGCCCAAAGAATGATATGCTGAGTAGTGAATTCCTTATACCTTTGCATGTGACACACATAGGTCCATTTGCTTCTCACCTATCTTGACACCATTCTTCTGTTCATGGTTTCTTTTAATTTCATGGGATCAATTGACTTTATACATTTCACTTAGAACAATAATAAAATCAATTACTTGGTTAATACGTACTTATATATAATTTATACTTTAGCAACTATAATTTAGCAGTGTGTAATTATGCAAATAAGGGAAAATGTAAACTACCTCTTCACTGTTGGCCTGCTGCTTTGACATCCTTCCATCTTCTCAGTCTAAGTAGCCCAGTGGGAGAAGAGATTGGCTGATATACATTGTTACTGGATTATCTTGTTACATAGACCTTTTTCTCTGAGGAGATGAGAAATGATTCAGTACTGTTAGTCTGCAAGACAACTCATGAGGAAGGGTCAGGGTAATTAAATGCATGCATTATTGGCAGAGCTTTTGCCTACAAGGAGTCCCAGAAAGCTGTACTAGAGGCTAAGACAGTCATTAATCTATTCAGAGTTAAGGGTTTCTTTCTTAACTGTCCCAACCAGCAAATAAAAGGAAATGTACAGTTAGGAAAAGGGTAAGGGACCACAGTGGGACGGCAAGATTTCAGTGGGACCACAAAGAATTTCAGTGAAAGGCAGTGAAATTAACAATTCTCATAGTTATTCTACATTTCCTCATAGAAAAACAAAAAAAAATTCATGGTATTTAGAAAGTAGGAAGGTACTGGGTGAGAGAACATCTTTAACCTTGTCATCATTTTAGGTTTCTGAGTCATGAAGAGTCAGGAGGGAAAATAGGGACAGTGGAGCCACACTGATAATGCCCATGTAACATGAAAACATGAACTCTAGTGGGTTTGCATTCCTGTTCCTCTGAACTCTAGTAGCTGGGAATTCACAGAGCACTCTTCTACCCAGCTAATTTGTGACTTCTGTATAGCCGTATATAGAACAGAATGTGAGCATGTAGTTCTCCATGATAGTGAGAAATCGCTCAAAGTACTTGGTGTAGTGTACGGAGTTTTAAAGCCTTTTTAAAAAAAAATTAAGAGAGAGAAATGACATCCTACATCATGCTTTGTCCTCTCTAGAAGCTTCTATGCATTTATACATTTTTTTTTTTTTTTGTGGTACTGCGGTTTGAACTCAGGGCTTACACCTTGAGCCACTCCACCAGCCCTTTTTTGTGTTAGGTATTTTTGAGATAGGGTCTTGCGGAATTAATTGCCTGGGGCTGGCTTTGAACCATGATCCTCCTGATCTCTGCCTCCTGAGTAGCTAGGATTACAGGCGTGAGCCACTGGCGCCCGGCTATACAGTTTTGTTGTATGTATTTGTACAAACTCAAAAGAGCCACTTTTGGATTGGAGGTGTGGCTCAAGTAGTAGAGTGCTTGCCTAGTAAGCGTAAGGCCCTGGGTTCAAACTCCAGTACCACCACAAAAATAAAAAACTTAAAAAGAATAATGTTTTATTAAGGTAGATTTCATGTCCTACTATCTATCTCCCCTCCCTGTTTTTAGTTTAGTTTTTTTTTTTTGTTCTTTTTGCATGTGATCTCAGTAACCATGGCAATTGTGTTGCCTTTTATCTCTGTTTCAACTTCCTTTTAACTTCTCATTTAATGCTGGTGTATAATCACTATTTGACCTTTCGTTTCTTTCTACTCTTCATCATACCCAATTACTGTGCTCCTACTAAATTGCTTTGAATTTGTGTAGTTATATGGAAGTATCTTTGGGGATACATACTATTGCTGGTCTCAGTGATCTTTCTGTTTCAGCCTCCCTAGTGCCGGTCTCCTTTCTTGTTAGCTGGTACTGAGCAAAGTTCTAGTCTTTGTGAAGGCTGATTCTGTAGGACTCTTGATTCATATACCAGAAAGATCATTTGTGCTTCAGCAGAGAATTCAGCTTACAAGATTTTTATTTCTATTGTCACCTCTAATTATCAGTGAGATTGGTGAATATGAGTGACAACAAGGAATTCCAGTTTTTCATAAAAATTCACTGATTTAGCTACTTCTTACTATATTGTTTGAATTTATTGAATTTCAGCATGTGGATAATTAGCTGTAGTTATGAATGGGAGGAATTAAATTGCCCCAGCTAGACTCAACATATTAGATGGTCTGTTCTCTTCATTTCCCAAGGAATGACTGTTAACTACTATTATGGTATAGCTCCAGGATAACTCCCCTAGTATCCAGTTCTTCATATATTGAAACTTGTAGGGATTTTTTTAATGTTGCTGTTTTCATTTCCTGAATATTCTGGGCTTTTTATTCTAAAAAATATTATGACTCACTATCTGGAAAACTATCTTTTAATCTTCTGATTAAAGATTGCTTGATGATAGTGCTTATTTGTGTGGCTGGCAGCATGTTTTTCTTTGTTTTAACACTGGAGTTTGCATTTCTGCATGGATTTGTGATACAAGGTTCTTTCTTTCTTTCTTTTTTTAATATTAGATAGGCATGAAGCCTTCGTCTCACAGCTGCATGCATAGTCACTGCTGAAGCAAATGCCTACCTAATTTGACAGTCTTGGTGTGTTTAAAAATTTTGAGTTTGCAAATAAGCATATTAAGTCTGCTGATGGAGCCGTCAGGCAGTGAACAGTTTTATGAGGACCCTGATCCTGGAGGCAGATCCCAAGATGCAGAGGCCAGAAAGCAGACAGATTCAGAACAAAAGTTATCTAAAATGACCCACAATGCTTTGGAGAACATTAATGTGATTGGCCAAGGCTTGAAGCATCTCTTCCAGCACCAGCGCAGGAGGTCATCAGTGTCTCCACATGATGTGCAGCAAATTCAGGCAGATCCAGAACCTGAAATGGATCTGGAAAGCCAGAACACATGTGCTGAGATTGATGGTGTCCCCACCCACCCCACAGCTCTGAATCGTGTTCTGCAGCAGATTCGAGTACCACCCAAGATGAAGAGAGGGACAAGCTTGCATAGTAGGCGGGGCAAGCCAGAGGCCCCAAAGGGAAGTCCTCAGATCAACAGGAAGTCTGGTCAGGAGATGGCACCTGTTATACAGTCAGGCCGACCCAGATCTTCATCCACGACTGATGCTCCTACCAGCTCTGCTGTGATGGAAATAGCTTGTGCAGCTGCTGCATGTCTACCAGGAGAGGAAGCAACTGCAGAACGAGTAAGTCTGTTAGATTTTCTTTTTCTGTTAACTTACCATTGTTATAGACTTGTGTGCATGCACACATACAACCCTAACTAAAGCAAATGTTCAGTTGATTTTTCCAGTGTATCCATGGTATTTAAAAACTGCCTGTTTCTGCTTAAGCCAACTGTCATGAAAGTAGTTGACTTTTTAAAGGTGATTCTTGACTTTCTAGCTAGATTATTATTTATTGAGGTACAAGGGAATCATACCCAGACCTCGTGCGTGGGAGGCAGACACTCTACCACCAAGTCACATACCCATCTTAGCTAGACTTTTTTTTTCTTTTAATTCAAATTTGGCAAGTATTTAATTTTGTCTGTACAAAAACATGACTTTGACTTGATGATGGGGATGGGACTTGGTTAGAACAGTCGTAATATGTTGAACACAAAGGTCCCATTTTCTTTTCCTTTTTAGGTACACTGGTATCAGCCTTTTCCCCACAGAAAAACCTTAGTAGCATATCCAAACTGCTGCAATGTTTTCATCTCCACATAGGTATTCTATATGGACTTGGTCAATTTACATCGATTAAAAGATCTTGTTTGAATTCACAAAGGCAAATTGATAAAGTCAAAATCTTTTTTTTTTCTCAAAACCGTTCTGTGATTTGAAAGTTTGAAAAGGTAAATGTTGGACTGGAGGTGTGGCTTAAGTGGTAGAGGGCCTGCTTTGTGAGCAGGAAGCCATGAGTTCAAATTTCAGTCCCACCAAAACCAAACAAACAAAACTAAATGTTTTGAATTTGAAGGAAGAAAGACTAAAGATAATTATTGCCAATATTTTGGTTTTCTCAATATATATTACCTATGGAAAATGTATTGGATAAAAATTTAATTTTTTAATTTACTTTATTAAAATGAATATTTCACATAAAGCCAGAATCTTATTAAAATACATAATTTTGTGTTCTTTTCAATTAAAACACTATCATGAACCCTTTTCTATATAAATGTACTTTTGCTATAGATTTTTACTGACTGCAAAACCATAGTTTATTGTTTATTAAACCATTTTAATATATTTAGTTGGAGAAGATGAAAATATTTAAACTTCCAAGGTAATTTTCTTTACTTAAAATAGTACTTGAAATATGAAAAGACAGGAGAGTGTCTTGTGGACTCTAATGGTAGTAATAATGATCACTGTCATTTAATATTTGCTTATGTGGCAGACATTGTGTTTAAACACATTTGATTTCCCCTTAATTCTAAAGTAGTCCTGTATTTTGCTTTGATAAGTTATATATTTTCTCATATTTGTTAATGAGACAGCAGAGACATAGGAAGTTAAGTATGTCTGGTTTCATAACTAGCTTGTTTCACAACTGGTATATTTCAGAGCTTAAGTAATAAGTGTAGGTCATTAATTTTTTTATTAGCTCTGTTTTAGTTACTACTGTGTCCTAGATATGTTCTGACATTAAAGACTGATTTTACTTACAGTACTATGTTGTCTCATTATTATGTATTGTACACTGGTTTAAGTACTTGGGAGATAGAAAAAAGGTACAGGAGTGCCATTAAAGTGTTAAGTTGTTTGTATACATGATTGGCAGGAGCATTTAGCTAATGACACTTAATTTATAAAAATTTAGGGGTAGTTCATATATAAGATGGTCTTATTTCTGTCATAAGATTGTTTCTATTATACCTACTTTTGCTGTTTAAAATTTTCCAACATATCTTTGAAAACTTTCTGATCCTAAACCCAACAAACTTACAGGCTAGCTAGACATATGTAAACAGCATAAGGCAGTGTCTATATGATAAATGGTACAGACAAGTTGAGAAGAGAAAAATCATTTTGGGTTGAAGTGGGGTTTAATGGAGGGGAAAGTATGCCTCGATTTGGGACTTGGAGCGAAAAAAAGGATCCACAGGGATGCGTGAGTTATGCAGGGATAGGAAAAGGTGTTATTTCAGACAAGGAAATGACATGAGCAAGGAAAAATTCTATTGATGATGTAGTCAGTTGGTTAGAGTGGCCAAGGAAGCATATGTATCAGCTGTCTCCATTCCTTTTAGAATGAGAGAAGTATAAACTTTTGTTTCTTCTTCTTCTCATATTCATTCAACATGTTTGATTAAGCTTACAAGTGCCTATTGTATGCAAAGTATTCTTGAAAATGCTGTGGTGGATATTTAGATGTATAACATGTGATCCCAGCTCTTAAGATTTTTTTTAAACTAGCAGGAAAGAGAAAATCGTGTACATGTAAAACAGAGTAATCTGAATTTTAATAAAGTAGTTTAACATGAATTATCTTATGGTTCTTAATAATTCTACAAATTAGTAATGAAGATATTATTGTTACTTTTTTCCACAAACTAGAAAAACAAAGTGACTTGCTCAGGGCCACATAACTTGTAAATAAAGGGTGAAGCTTTTGATTTCTGTAGACCAGTTCTCTTTCTGCAATATCATATTGTGTTCACAAATACAATACAAAATAGAACGTGATAAGTGCTGCAAGTCATATAAAAGTAGGAGAATCAAGGAGGGGATCATTACTTGTTTGAGGACTCTAGGAAAAATGGGCTTTGAAGGATGGGTTCTGGGACGTTGAGGGTAACTGGCAGTAACAGGTACTCTCTAAGTTGAAGACTTTCAAGTACAAAACTAGTCTTTCCTTGGTAAATTTATGCTTTTTCAAGGCATTTCATGGACTTGAATAAGGCCAGTGACATTTTGGCTGGTATGTTGAGCAAGGTCTAGAACTATCCATGGAGCTTGCAAGACACTCATCATGTCTTAGCATTATATCTCTCCTAGCACCTAGCAAGATAGCAGTTCTTACACAAACACCTCATGCGAAAGTAGTATTTTAGGGTCTGTACTTAATAATGATTAAATCACCTGCCTGCATCTTAGGTGTTGGTGTCCTTGGAGCTCTAATGATAGCCCTTACCACTCTGTGAACTAGAACTCATAACTCATATGCTTTCACCTACCACCAAATTTTTATCTCTAGCCTAACCAAGGCTTGCGTTTGGCTGCGATGTGTGGTATCTGGGCCATGGGCCATACCTTGCCTACTTCTATTTTAGGTACCTACCATATGTGAGTGAATAAAACAGATATAAATCGTTGCCTGTATGCAATTTACTACGTAGGAAGGGGAGAGAAATAAAATGTAAGTAAAATATACAGTTTGAGTTACAAAGAAAGGTGAGAAGTCTTTAAGTAGAATGGTCAGGGAAGACCTCACCAAGTGTAGCAAAGACCTGAAGGAAGAGAGGGAACAAACCAAACCACTCATATGCCTGGGGAGAGAGCATGCAGGCAGAAGGAAGAGCAAATGGAAACATCCCAGGGACTGTACCATAAAGAAATGTCACTGAAATTGCTTTTTTTTATTGAATGCTTTCTAGGTAGGCATTCTATCACTTGAACTACTCCACCAGTCCCCCAGTTTTTTTTTATGGCACCTATAGGAAATTAAAATAGTCACATAGCCAGATAAACAGATGAGTTCAGAGCTGAGGCAGCTGATCCAGTTACCCTGGGGCCCTGCCAGTCCACCTGGAGAGCATTAACATGAGAAGATGATGATGTATATCCAAGCCATAAGTCATAGCCTTTTGTTGATGTGTGTCAGGTAGGAGAGGAGCAGTACTTGGAGCAGTTGTTACTAGTAAGATTTTGATCTGTTGGCATGTAAACTTGTGTGCTTCCAGTGTTAATATTTCCTCCTTTTATGCTTACCTGTAGCTGTAGTCATGTTAACTTAGCTATTCTGAGGTATATATTCAGGTCATCCTTCCTCCCAAAGTGTATTCATCCTCTTTCTTCCATGCTCTGTCTGAGCACATGCAAACATTTATGCTATTGAAACAAAAAACTAAATGAAGTATGAAATCTGAGCTATTCTTCGTTAATTTTTTTTTATAATAAACACTATTCTACCAGTCTCTTAAGTATTTTTTGAGTATTCCTCAATTGGAAGTTAGCATTCTAATACATGTTATAAACTTATTTTCAAAGAACTTAGAGTCTGTTGAAGAAGACTTACATAAGTGGCAATTTAAGAAGCAGTGTGATGTAATATATCCAAGCCCAGAAGTCAGGAGCTTGTGGTTTTAGATTCTAGTTCTGTTTTTTTTTTTTATTAAATATCATTGTAACCTTAAGGAAATTAAACTCTCTAGGTTTCATTTCCTTCAGTTTCAAGGTGATGTTATTTTGCTAAATAGTATTTAATGTTACTTTTAACTTGAAAATACTATAAATTAAATATACTGTTATTTCCCAGTTTTTTTGTGGTGTTGGTGTTTGAACTCAGGGCCTCATGCTCACTAGGCAGGCATTCTATCAGTTGAACCACTCCATCAGTCCCCAGTTTTTTTTATGGCACCTGTAGAAAATTAAAATAGTCACACAGCCAACTAATGACTTGTTCAGAGCTGAGGCAGCTGATCCAGTTACCCTAGGGCCCTGCCAGTCCACCTCGAGAGCTTAGTTGATCAATACCTGCCGCATACTTACAATCCATTTTCAGCAGCTAAAAAGTTTTGCAGAGGACAATATGTAAATGTTATGGGCATTATGAAATTTAGGACAATACAAGTCCAGAGAAGGAAGAGCTAATAATGGAGTCAAGTTGCAGGGACTTTATAGCGGTTGTGCACCTTATAGGAAGTCTCAGGAGCATTGAGGCCCAGTCAGTACAAATATTTTCCTTTATGAGAAAACACAATATGCAAATAAGTAGGTTTCAGAATGGTTGAGATGCAAACAAAAACAAAACACTCCAGTTGCGAGCCTGTGGAAAGCTAGGACCACGCATATGAATTATTTTTCTTTATATCCTACATAGAAACTTAGGGTCTAACAAGTATGTGAGGTAGTCAGACCTTTAAGGGAGGTAACAAGAGATAAGGAAAGCTATGGGAAAATGTATGGTAATACATTTTTAAATTAAAATTTCATATTAGGGGAGAGGTCTTTGGTGTAGCAATATGTGAAAATAA